GGCAGAAGATTCACACAAATGCCTGATGGAACAGACAGATGAGTCAAACTGTTGGAAAGTTCCCAGGGCAGCAGTTCAGATTAGTAACTCTTCAGACTTTTTCCTCCACTAAATGTCAGATGTGTCACTGATTTTACAGCCATTGCCTGAAGTGATTTCATTATGTGCCACCATCAACCCCTCTTAATTAATCAAAGCAGCAAGTGAAAATTAAGCAGATATGTACACCTTCAGTTTTATTCCTAACATATAAAAAATAAATAAATAAATCAGTAATTCTCTTGGTTAACTCCTCTGCTTGAGTGATAAAAGCAAATAGTGAGAGAGATGGTCATACAGCATCTCCTTGTTTTCACAGGAGGATGCAAGGACTGAGTAAATTAAAGCCAAAATGATGAGAAAAAAACCCACCAACCAAAAGCAGCAGTTTAAAATTATGAAGAGAATTTGCCTTTTTACAGACTTGTATGAAATAGCTGGGTATCCTGCAGGCATATGCTCTCTGCAACACAGAACTAAAATGGCAAACAAGGTTGATCTGGTAATTAACTATAATCTTTACCTCTCTGCCTGATTAATTAAGATCAATTAAGAAAGACCAACACAGTGTAACATCAACCCACCTCAAGTCTCATTCTAACTGTTGTCCCAAAGCACAACTTTACCATCAGGAGACAATGCCTGTATCACAGGCTTCTCATTCCCAACAAAAATGAAGGAACTTGTTCAATTTCTCCTGTCTATTATGAATGCTCTGTGTCTCTTGTTTGCATGAAAGCAGTTTTGCCAATTCCACCTAGTATTAGGGTTCAGCATCTCTTAATTCTCACCTGAGAAATGGGGTCTGTAGCTGAACAAAGTAGGCTAGATTCCAGATGTACATTCCTGCCACAGCAGCTTTACATTGTTGTTTGGAAATTAAAACCAAGTGGTTTGTGATAACCCAGCAGCTGGAGATGGCACCTTCCAAAACCCAGAGTTTCTCCTAGCTAAAGAAAAAAACTTTTCCTTGTTTGTTGGGCATGTTGCTTATTCTTTTGCTCACATTTGGGTGCAGAGATACATAAGGAAGAAAGAGTTGTACCATTTTAACCATTTCAGTTTGGAGTATGAATAAACACCCTTTCTTTCCCATTTAATTTTAAGCACTCTCTTTTAGATTTTAATGCTCAGAAACCTCCATCTTTTCATGGCATCTTTTAAAATGTTATCACAACTGATGTGCCAAAATCAGGAAACCAAAACCAAATAAAAGTGTATTAAATAGCAACCCATAGAGTCCCATTCCTTACTATTCAGACACATTTCTGACAAAGGCCAGTTTCAGTGGAAACTATTTAGCTGAGCATTTAGCCATCTTCAGAATATGCTGTGATTCAGACATAGCTTCACGTATTGTTTTTCTCTGTGCTGCAAGAAAGGGAGAACTGTGTGGTTTTTTCCTCAGTGAATTAAAACTGGATGAAGCTCTTTAGAAACTCTCACTCTTCCACACAAAAAAACCCATTATGACTCATTTCTTTTATCAACAGAAAATTGGGTTAAAGGCATGATATTTACTTCATTACAAATAAAGTCTGATTAAATAGAAAAATAAATTTCACAGCATAGAGAGGTACTGTTTAAAAAAAAAATTCCTTTTCCATTTCAGGTGTAAAAATGCATTAAAAGGTTTTCTTTGTTAGAAAAGGATAAAAGTTCAGACTTACCTTATTGAAATCCCAGGATCCAAGGAAGACTATGATGCTGACATCTCCAGGAATTCCACCTTCTATGGTCTTTTATACTCTCCCTCTCCCACTACCTGCTGCTGAACTCAAGAACCACCACTTGTACATCCATCTTGTTATAGGTGCAATAAAGACTAAGCTATGTTTGGCCATCATTTCTGTTATCAACATGAAAGAGGTATCCTTGGCTGGATAGAAAAACACATGCGTTCTTTGAACCACAATTAACTCATCAATCTGAGAAGCCTTAGAGAAAGATCTTTTTAGACATTAAATCCTTTCTTTGACAATGAAGCCTTAAAAACATCAGACAGGAAGAAAGAGAAACATCTGCATTGATTTTGATTGTTTAATACTCAAGAGTGAAAAAGTGTAAAATCACAAATCTTATACCACCACAAAAAAATGCAGTTCCATTGCAAACGACCAAAACACAAGCTGCCTGCAGTTTCACACAGCTGACAGCAGCCCAGTTTCAACATTCTTACCGTCTTTTTAAACACCTGCGATTCACAAACATCAGTCAATACAGTCTTCTAGGTCTCTCACAAATCTGTCTTAATATTCTGTGCTATATTTGCTTTCTAGACCAGTGGTTTACACATTTGGAACACAGTGCCCCACTTCTGATCTATATCAGCATATAAATATATAGTTTTTACCCCGCTTCCCCCAATTATTAATTATATTTTTAAAGCATTTTGTTTTATTCAAACGCAGCAATAAATTTAATGTATTTAATGAAAAGCACAGCTTATATGAGTAAGCTTCAGAAGTGCATGCTGACCAAAGTTGTATCACCAATCCTTCCAGCCACAGGCTGGGTGAGTTAGTACACCAGACAGTCAGTAGGTTGTCTTTGCTTTCACTGGTACTGCATGTACCTATGGCCCTGGTATCACAGCCTGAAGTGCTGATGCCAAGGAACTGGGGACATCTTCAAATGTCACACTAATGCACATTTCCAGTTCCCTATGATAAACTAACTTTCCAACAGTTGATCAAAATTCTGATCTTAGATAGAACTAAAGTACACAGAACTTTTTTTTTTTCCACTCTAGACAATCAAAAAAGAAACAGATCTTGGTACAACCTACTACATCTGACAAGTGATACATAAAAGAATTTTTAAAGAGCTGTTGTTGCCTCAGTGGAAACAATACTGATATTTTGTTTTCCCCTCCTTTAGTGCTAAGGCCATCTGCATTGTATGATTCACTTGCTCCTCACTGGTTTACTCCTTCATCTGACATGATAATCCTCTGAGCAGGTGAAGATGAAGATACCAGAGTTTTGGTTTAGTTCTTCCTAAGGAGCATGTCTGTCAAAGATTCCACATGGTATCAATAAATCTATTGATCTTTTAAGTACAGAAACCTATTGTTCTTGTTGGTTACACAGCTCAGTTTCCTATTCATTTTTCCAGCTGTTTGTTACACTTCCAGTTGCAACAAGTTATGTCATGGTACCAGATGGAAAAACATTCAGCCCCCACCTCCACTGCTCCTCACGCTTAGACAAAACGAGGAAAACATACAGAAAATGTTGTAGTGCAGATAAACCTCATGAGTTAATCTTTGGAACAGGTAGTTCTGCACAGTTTCAAGCTTGGTACATAAGGCACACAACAATTCAACTGTCCCATCTCTGAAACAGCACGACCTGTCAGTCAGCAGGGAGCTTCTCTGGAGCTTTGCGTTTACATTCAATATCAGGAAGCAGCAGCCAGTTTTGAAAAATCTACCTTCTGTTAATACTAAGGCATCTGAAAGGTGACTAGCCATGCCAGACTATGGCAGTTTAACTGGACTCTAATCTGGATTAGCACACACAAAACTACACCTAGATAACCACAGGGAAAAAATGGGGAGTCAGAGACCACCGGCCCAATGCAGCCGCCCGGATACGGATGTTTCAACTCTGCAGAGAAGGTGTGAGAGAGAGTGAGTGAGTGAATGTGTGCGTGTAAAAATAGCAGCTTCTCATCTGTGTATCTTATATCTTGTTATGTGTCCAGAATGGTATCTTCTTACCTCAGTGACAAAAATACTTGGGCTGCTATTTTTGCTTTCTGCTGGTGCTGCAGAGTTCAGTGCAGCTCCGGGGGCTGATCCGGGCTTCCAAGTCACTGAATTATCATTGTGAAGTTAAATCATGTCCTTCATTTAACCAATGTGCAACCCGAGTGAAATTAGCTTATTTTCAAATAATTTAAGTAGAAACCAACTTTAGCCCGAGGCAAAGGTTACAATTAGAAAAAAAGAAAAATAAGGAACACTCAAATCTCAGGTTGGGTTTTCAGGGCTCGTAATTGGAAAGGGCATCGTGTCATTTGTAAACAAAGAAAGGAAGATCTGGAAATGGCACAAGGATATTAAGTGTCATCAATGCCATTTTTACAAGTTTTCTCCAGAACAGGACACAGATTAGCTAATTTCACTGTCTTCAGAAACTAGGCATTATGCAATAATGTCTGACACTTCTCACTTACCTTTAGCAATACCTAGTTTTAAATTGAGTTGCTGTCACTAATGAACAGCCACTGAACCTCACTTCAGTGCAAATAATATCAAGCCTAGTTTTTTCATTTGCTTTTAAATGTACTACTGTCTAACCATAAAAACCACTATTTCTCATTATGAATACTGTGAGAAATTCTTGCTTCAGTGTTACCTCTTTCTTCCCACTGCATTCTAGCTATACAAATTATTCTTATCAATTCTTGCTATTCTTACTTTGATCCTATAGAATCGTATTTATTTTTCATAGCTGTAGTAACTGTATCTTAATGTTTTCATTAGGTATTGCAGATAAGTACACAAACAGAACTGAAAATCAGCTACCTACCACTCTCCTTAGTTTTATATTCTGTTATATTTGTGGTTAGTAGCTTAAGATTTAAATAGAATTTCTGAATATTTTAGTTACCAAGTACAATACAGTATTTTAAAAAGTAATGGAAAAATCCTATTCAAGCACACACTGATTAGCTGACTTGCTATAAAACAAACACAAAGTACAATCCTTTCAATTCCCCAGTAGCAAATTCCTGTCTCCCTGGGTAGAGAAATCTGAAATTATTGGACACAATTTCCAATAATGTAAGAAGTGTGCTGAATAGATAGAGGTTTAGATTCAATACTTCTCAGTCCACTATTAATAATCTAAATAGTGTGAATGCTTCCTCATCCCTTTTTTTCCTTTTTTTTTTTCTTTAAAAAAAAGGATAATCAAAAATCTGTATAAACAAATTACTAAGTAGACTTCCTTTCAGAACCACTGTCCATCATTATCATCATCATCTTCCTCCTCACGGTCCAGGTAGAGAAAAGCAACTTTCTTTTCATCAGAAACAACTGAACTTTGGTCTACCATACTTTGCAACTGTACAGTTCTATCAAAAAATGATTTTTCCACTACATTTTCACCATGATCTTGAGAAAAACTGGAGAGAACGTAGCCTGTTTGATTTTTGTTTCCTACAATCTGGTCACTTTCAATTACAATCTGACTAACAGAAGGGTCTTGCTGATTGGACACAAGCACTGTTGCTTGCTGTTCTCCACTTTTTATTGTAGATATTCCACCCATATTGGAAACATCCATTTGAAAACTATAAGATGCTTCTTTGGATCCTACTTTAATGTGCTTTACAGACCTACTGCTCTCAGATGACTCTTCCATCTGTGAAAGATCTTCCAGTGTTTCAGAAACAGGGCTTGTAAAGATTATTTGCTCAGCATGAGTTTCTCCAGGGCTTATTTTAACATGCCTGTAAGATCTGATGTTAGAGCTTCCTTCATTCTCTGAAAGATGTCCTTCTTTGTTCATGAGCTCTGGAGTATCAGAAAGGGAGCCATGATATATGATTTGTTCAGTGGTTTTAACTCCCACTTGACCTATTCTAAAGCGCTTTGTGGAGCCTTCTGAAAGAGTCCCATCTTCCAGTTCACTGATTTCTGTGTGCTCAGAGACAGGCCCCTGATAGACAATCTTTTCAGCTGTCATAAACTCTTGGGGACCCAACTGAATGTGTCTGACTGAACTTTGTGCCTGTGAGAAGTCTCTAGAGTCACTGACCTCCACTTTACCAGAGATTGGTCCTTCAAAGATAACTTGCTCAGTGTGAAATTCTTTTGGACCTAATCTGAAGTGCCTTACTGATCTGCTGACATCCACAGACCCTTCTGTCTGAGATAGACTGCCTGAGCTATTGAGCTCCAGAGAGTCTGAAACAGGTCTTTCGAAAGAGACTTCTTCAGTTACCTGTCTTGATCCTACTGTGACACTTCTTGTGGACCTGTTGAAGTCTGTTGAGGATTTCTGGGAAAGATTTCCAGAATCAATCTCTTCTATGGTTGTAGTAATAGGGCCTGAATAAATTACTTCTTCCATGGTTTGGATTTCTTTAGGACCCATTTTAAAATGCTTCACAGATCGGCTAAACTCTGATGATCCTTCTGTTTGAACAAGATCTTCTGTAGCACTGAGCTCCACAGTTTCAGAACCAGGCCCTTTGTAGACAATCTGCTCAAACCTCTGAACTTCTGCTGGATGAACCTTTACATGCCTCATGGATTTGGTGTCATCAGCTGATTGCACCGAGCGAGAAACTTCTCCAAAATCTGCAGTTTCCAAAACCGAATCATCATAAATAACTTCTTCAGTGGTATGATACCCTGCACCACCACTCCTCCTCACTGTGGATGAGTTATAGATTTCTTGATCAGCCACAGCAATGTATTTATCACTGTGGGAAGAAACATCTACATTCCTTCTACCATCAACAACTGTCTCCGAGCTATCTTTTTTCAACGTTGCCTTCTCGCTTGCAATTACTTCACCAAGCTGAGCTGCATCAAATTCATCAGTGCTGAGGGTCTGTGACAAATTGACTTCAGCAACAATTGTCACCGAGCCACCATCCTCTGCTTGATCAACTTTTTTTATATCAAATTCTAAGCTACTAGAGTCAGCTTGATTTTCTTTTGTTAATGCAAACAGCTCATCTTTCACACTTTCTGGGAGACTGCCCTCCAACTGCTCCAAAGCTTCCTTCAGTCGATGTTTAGGGTCCTTTGTTTCCTTTGATAAAAGCCCTTTTATTGAAGTCTGAAATTCGTGGGGAATCTTAATTTCTTTTTCAATAACAGTGGATTCAACATGGGATGTTTCAGCTTCTGGAGACTCTTTTAAAATATGGGCACTCGCTTCCTCCCCTACCACTCGATAGGTTTCTTCTGGAGAGCTTACACCTTCATCTCTCTTACTTTGTGTGCCTTGCAAAAATTCATCTTGCCAAGAATATTTAATAGTGGATTCTTCCTCTATATGAATTTGCCCATACACTGAGTCATCGTCTTTCTCATTAATAATAGGATGCTCATCAGGAACAGATACAAAATATTTTTGTTCAATAGGTGAATCATCTTCCTCGGTGACTTCTTCCACATGAGTGAAACTCTCATGACGTTGTTTCTTCTTTTTCACATCTTCATAGGTGAACGTTATGTGCTCCTCCTCCTCCTCCCCGTAACGCCTCTCTCTCTCAGGGAACGTGTCTTCCACTTCCTCTACTTCAAAAGGTGTTGAAAAATCAGTCCTTTCATCAGTGGCATAATCTAGTGGCTCCTCTACAATCTCAACATTAACAGAGATGTTCTTTCTGCCCTCGTTTCCTTTCAGGCCATGATGCACTATATCTTCTATCTCCTCTTTGGAAGGAGTTCCCTCAACACCCTCCCGAACCACTTTTCCTACATTCTGGTTTGACAGACCTCCCACGTCAGCTTCACCAGAAATATCTATGTTTTCTTGAACTTGAGATTGCACTGTGATCTCAGTCTTTATTTTCCCATCATCTGGTTGTTCTTTCTTATTAAAATAGGTCACTTTTGTGTCTGTTGATACTTGTGAACTAGAAGGCTGTGTAAAACTTTTAAGAATGTCAGCAACAATATTCTCTGCTATATCTTCAGTTGACAGAGCTCCCATTTTATTATTTAAGTCACTAGTTCGCTCTTCATGTTTCAGGCTGGAGTCTTCTGAAACACTCACTTGGTGAATTTCAGCAGGCTTAGTTACATGGTCACCTGCTTCCCTTCCTGTGGAAATTTTAACACCGTGTAACCTCGTGTCTTTATTACTCTGAGATGCTTTGTTGGAATCAGACAACTTCTGGTTAACAACTTCCTCGTAGATGTATTTTCTTTGCTCAGTCTTCCTTCCAAAATCAACACTTCTTTCTTCTCTAGAAGGTTTCTTATCAGTTTTCTCTTTGTCCTCCTTTGTTTGTTTCTCTAGCTTATCTTTTTCTTTCAGCAGAGATTTTTTCTCTTCAGCTGTTTTGCTGTCTCCTCCTTTTTCTTTTAGTGTGGTCCGAGTCTCAGTTATGGTTTCTTCATATTTATATGGTTTTAGATTGGTATGAAACTCATAAGTAGGAAATCTAGTGAAGCTTGGTTTTGTTGTGGTTTCAGAAACCCCTGGCTTTGTGTCAGGTTTGTGGTCCTTGTCTGATTTTTCAACATGTGCTGATTCTTTCGAAACAGATACTGTGGATGAAGTTGTAACTTCTGTTTTCTTTCTTTCTGGAATTGTCTTTTGCTGCATTTCAGTGTTTTTCCAGCTACTGTAGGATGGAGTAAATGTTCTTAATTCTTTGTGGTCTGTGACAATCCTTTCATCCTTTGTAAAAGTTGTTGAAGGGCGATATGTTGAATCAAGTACATCCCTTCCAAAAGCTCTTCCACTACCTGTGGTCTGTGATCCAGCCTGTGTTGACTGGGCTGAGTAACGTGCAGAACTGCTAATATTTGCCACTGGCATTCGGTGTCTTGTGTCAGTGATCCTGACAGCTGGTGAAGTTTTATTTCTATTTCTTTCTTGATAAGTAGAGTAAATATCAGTGTAGTTATATGAAGTGTTTATAATATCTGCAAAAAGAGCATAGGTAACCAAGCATTAAAATAATAGCTGGTATCTAAAATAATAAAAAACAGAGGGTATGAACTAAGAAATCTTATACTGAATTTTTGAAAGAAGTAATGGGTTCATTTTCAATGGAGCTTTGTAAAGACATTCCTGCAAGTTAGACATTACATTTACATCTATGCATAATTGATATGAAAACTGAAAGCAAAGCTTTTTACTAAGTTGCAAGTTCTTGCTTATTTTACCTGTTGTGAGCTACTGGGAATTACAGCATTTACCTAGGAATTACACCTTTATTATTTATATTAATGCCCATTTACACATACAACTTCTTATTTAATAATGCATGCTAATACCCTAGACTTGTTTTTTTTTTTTCTTCATCAGTACAAGAGGCCCAAAGTTTCTGAGTTCCTATTGAGAATTAATGGCACACCTGACACCACATACTGGAAATAAAAAAACATAAATACAGCCTTTCATAGCCACAAGATACAGGAAGGTACAACAAGGGAGAGAAATAAAGAACCTTTAAGACTATGCCTATACTATTCAATATACTGTACCAGGCATCACTGGCTCTAAGACAAACCAGCACTGCACAGCTTGAATCTACTTGTAAAAAGCCACATCTCCTCTGACTTTTGATAGTGTTTCCTGGTCTGTGGTAACCACTGAATCTGCCTGAGCATGGTCTGTAAAAGCACTGGCTAGTCCAGATCCAAACTGTGCCAGGGAGAGTGCTAACAATTTAACAGCACAGGCAGTTCTCTAGGTGTTCCAGCATAAGTACTATTCCATTTCATTAAACTACTATAGACACAGCCACCAAATCTCTTCTGGGACCACTGTCTAGGACAGTCTGATGATTTTAAGACCACACATTACTAAACTCAGGATTATAACCAAGGTTAATTCTGTTATCCACAACAATGGCCACAGCAGCCAGATCCAAGGTCCACTCTGTCTAGCATCCTGTTTACAGAGACCAACAGTAGATACATAGGGAACAGGGCAAGTAAATAGTGATACTTCCCTGGTATACTCTCACAGCCTCCAGAGATTTGCAGCTCCTAAGATAGAAATGGTATCTTTATGTTTAGTAAGTCTTTAATTTTTCTTTCATTACTTTGCTAAAATTTCTCTTTAACCCATGTAAACTTTTTAACACTTGCAATACTTCAGGATGATGAATTCCATGGTTTTAACTACAGGTTGTTTTAGCTACCTCTTTCTTTATCGTCTCTGAAGACCTAAGGACATCCAAAAGTTCTTGCATTGTTAGAGCTATGAAACATCACTCCCTACTTACCTTCTCCATTTGAGTCATGATTTTATACATTATCTCATATACAACAGCACTAGATGGATTTAAAATATTAACACTCAAAACCAATATTCGCTTTGCAATAAACTCACATAAAATATTATTCAGGAATACTATAAAAGAATAGTTTCCAGTTATATTTAATTTAATTCAATATTAATTTTTTAATATTCATTTTTTTACCTTGAGGCAATTTCCCTCTATGCTGATCTCTCCATGTAATAATCCACTGGTTGCTCTCCCCTTCTAACAGAGCTCTGCAAAACACATTAAAAGGCATTCCATTACAATATCAGGAAGAATAATAATAATATTTAACATTTATAAATCTTAGAAACTGAAATAACTATCCTGCAGTTGGGCCAGATCCTGAGTGTTTTCCACACCAAGTATTTTTATTCCTGGGAATGAGAAATCCTCAGTATCTTCCAGGCTCTTAGTTTGCAGAGTCCAGTCCATGAGAACCACACAGTAATTTTACAGTAGGTGACAGCAGCAGACAGAAAAGTTTTATATCAAATCTTCCACATTAGTTAATATACTGCTTCCTGACATGGCCCCAGATCCACTCATTTCCACTGTGGAAGCCAGCAATTTTTTTCCAGAATGATGATTTCATAACAGAGTTAGGAGAAAACCAAGCCAAGCAAAAGTTAACAGATATTCAGTGAAGCTTTCTGAGAGGAACACATGGAGATACTTTATAAAGGAAAAAGAAAAAATGAAAAAAGATTTGCAAGCAAACAGTCAGTAGCTTTCCTGCTGGTTATACAGCACTAAAGGTGTTCCTGCAGTGTGATACATCAGGGAATTGTGACACTTGGGATCTCTAAGTTTCATCCATTTTAAGTGAAAACTGAAGGCAAGTATTAGTTCTGCTGTCACACACTGGCTAGTGCTGGAGGGAACAACTTCCATATTCTTAGCTGCTATTCAATCAGAAATCAACACAACATATTTTACAACAAAGGACTAGGAAAATTCTGTGTGACAAAATGCTTGGTTTCTTTCAATGACATGTTTGTCTCCTCTGTTCCTCAGCCTTCCATTTGTTCTTTTCTGCAGTGACTCCCTAATGCTTCCATAGTTCCAAGAAAACAGCACTTCCACAGGTTTATTGTGGTCAAGGCTTCCTCTTGTTCACAAACAAATACTCAGCAGCAACTGATCAGAAATGGACAGGACACCCATTTGCTTAACTTTACTTTATGAAAATGGAATCAGCACAAGCAAAGAGCCGAATGAGGCACCAACTGTTGAGATGGTGCTTTGTCATTTTGTCTACTACCTATTCTAGGTGTCCTGACACAGAGCAGAGACACTTTGAGCTGCCTATTCTATGCTGGTGATACACATGAGCTGGTTTTGGAGACATTACACCCAGCTGAGATCACTGCCAGCCCTTTATGCCACTCTGTTCCCTATACAGCATGCACATGCAAAGACCCATCTGACTTGTTCTATTCCTGCACAAAGCTACCAACCCACATCTTCTCCTTTCTGTCATGGGAGAAAACACTCCAAAGCTACATTTCCCACAGAGATTAGAACAACTGAGGGGGCAAAACATTCTCAGGAGTAATAGCTCTGCATTAAGAATATTCAGACAGGCTCTCAGCATCCTTTTGTTGTCTCAAGGTGGGAGGAAAGACCAAGTGCATTCTCCAGCATTACCAAACTGCTCAAGAAAAAAAACAAAATAAATTATTGGCTTTTTCCATATACTAAGTACAAAAAGTAGATATTAGAGTGATCTTATTAAGTCCTAGAAGTTTAAGAGGTGGTATCCAGCAAGAGTGGATCTCAGAATTCCTGATAAATTCTCTGGACATTTTTGTCTGCCTTCCTTCCCTCCTGCTGTCTACATATGTGTACTGGCTGACATAAAATACCTCCAGCCATTTAAAACAAATTTTTTAAAAGGCAGTTTGTACCTTTTCAACTTTTGCCAGGCCACAGGCCGTATTATCCCCAAAAAAAAACTGCTCAACTGCAGCATTTTGGTGCAACAGCTTAGAATTCCTTTGGCAGGATCTTCCAGTACACAACTGAAGGCTATAACCAGTGTGGTAACGTTGGTGGTTTTACATTCATTTCAACTAGTGAGGTACCTGCTGGATCATTTCCAGTTTTGGAGATGCCAGATGTTTTGCACTGATAACATACAGCTGCAACGTGAAAGTTGTCGAGAGTCAGGCTGGAAGATTATGATAGCCCAGGCTTCTGACTCCTTAGGGCAGGAGTTTATACCACAATCCAAACTGCTTCCAACACATTTGCTGGGCATTTCTATCAAAATCAACAAAAGAGGCATTTTAAAATGTCACCTGTAGATTTGACTTTTGACATGACTGATCACTTTGGACATTTTATGCTTCTGTTGGTTTCTGACTGCCTCTAGACTCAGTAGGATAACTCTATATCAACAAAATATCATCAGTAAGGTTTTCTTCGCAATCATGTATTGCCCAGATTCAGAAGAGCCAGGTTAGAATATCATATTTATAGGTCACTATAACAGGCTCAGATGGACCCCTGGACTTCTATTTTGTTAGCTAAAAAAACTAACTACAAGTGATTTATCTTCCCCCATGTTAGAGAGACTTTGTGACAACTTCAACACATATAGAGAATGTTCCCAAGACCAAACATCTGATGAAGCCAGTGAGTGCCAAACAAATTGCTCTCATAGCCACTCACTGGAGAAGCTATTGGTGACACTGCAGAAACTGCCAAGGAGCTGGCAACAAAAGGGTTAACCATGACGAAGGAAACCAGGAATGCGGGTAGTCTGACTAAGGATTTCTGGCTGCTGTTAAAACAACAGTTGTTCAGTTGCTGCAGCAACGTATGAAGTCACTAAAAATAAGTTCCAAGAGGTAACTGTATATGGCAAAGGGCAACGGCACACAGAGAAACTGGATCTGAAATATTACTACTGAAAATACATCGTATTGGAAAGTGAAAGGCAAAGCTTCACAAAACCTCTGTAAAACTGGACAGTTTATGGTGCACAGTTCATAGTATGTATGTCCTCAAGGTTATCAGAAAAACAAGAAAGTGTTAAACTGACTTTGGCCTCATGAAGAACCATAAGAACCTGCAGCATAACGTCCTGAGCACAGGCCTGGAAGCCAGCAACCTCAGGTTATGTTCCTCAGCTTGATTCTAGCTCCAGTTTATGCAAGTCATTTTACTTCTCTGTTCCTTTGCATCGTTTCCTAACTAAAACCTCTTTGTAGTGTATTAATCTCAACTTATGAACTCTTAAGTATTCACAATAATAATATAAAAACACTCCTCTGGGCAGCACTCTTCTTAAAAATAACCAGGTCAGCTACTTCTTGAAAATCAGATCCCAAATGGCATTTACACATATTGCTTTAATACTTGGTTTAAGTGTTGCCAGAAAATATTCCCCCTGCACCTTTAATTCACCTCATTATTAATGTTCTTTATCTAAAGTTAGCAGCGACATGATACTCAGCCTGAAGCCCCATAATGTGCTGGATGGCAACAAAAATAACTAGTTCATGAAAGCAGGTGGATGAGATAAATAGGGTGGGGTGGGGAGAGAGAAATCACCAAAAACAAAAGGGGACAGTGCAAATGTTGCTATGGCCAGTGACAACAGTAGTTATTTCAACTACAGAAACCAGAAATCTCAGATAGGGGCAATTAGCCAGGAGGCTGTAAAAATTCATCCTCTCTGTGCTGCTTATTTGGGAAA